TTTGTAGGCCAACAGCCTGGACAGATCTGGGAGTGATGCTAAGAACTGGCAGATGACTTTGCATGAAAGGATTTTAGAGGTTTTGGGGTTGTTTCTAGGGTTTCTCTTCCCATCTAGAGGATTTAATTAGGACAGCATATACATTGCAGAGTTGTACCTAGGAGGACGGGTGGGTGCAAATGCCAAAAGTGTAGCATGACTGCACAAGCCACATCCTTCAAGACAAGTGTACGGCACCATGCCACTGGATATTAGCATGGTGAACGGCTGAACAGTGGTTAGCCTGACTCCAAGCATTGGCATGCTCACGCAAGGGCTGCCGGGAAGTCCATGTATTGCACTCCTGTGAGGGGGATGCAGCCAGTGATCAGTATGGCAAGATTCACTAGGTCAGATGATCAGAGGGAGGCTGCCAAGAGGAGGAAATGCTCACTGGGAAAAAATGGGATGCTGGTGGAAAAGAGCAGGACATGCTGCCCTGGCTGGCAGGAGGTACCTGCAGATGTTTTAAACAAAGAAAAAAATGATAAGGAAGTGAGAGCAGAGATCCCCCAGCCCCAGGAGGGCTCATCATGCACCATTATGTGCCAGACCTCAGCCTTGCTCATGCTGCCTCCAGGATGCTGCAGGTCATTACATTTTGCCTTAATTAGCTAACAAGCTGGAAATATCCATCTCATCCCTTCCCTGGTGCACTGACCCTGCCAACACTTCTGCAACTTCCTCTAATATATCCGGGTTTCAGCATTTGAAAGGGGGTTTTTTCTGGAGGCAGGAGAGGGGAGTGTTTGCTATCAGGGGGAATAAGAAAGCCTTCCCATAAGCAGCAGTTAATGAAGCCTCATTAAAATATATAGGCACTGGCTAAATATTCAAAAACAGCCCTTTTATTGGTACAGCAACAGTGCTATGGCTACCCACATGCGCTGCACTTCTGTCCCTTTATTAAAAGTGGTATCTCCATTTTATTGTGCTCCTGGTACACAAATCGGCACTACGCTGCACTCAAAAGCCTTGGACCACGGACAGCACAGAAGAGTTACTTGCAGAGGGCGCAAGATGGTAGAGGAGAATCTGGGATTCCCACCGAACCAGCAGTCCAGGCTATAACTGGAGTCACTCAAGTGGTGCTGACGGAGCACCTGAAAGAAGTAGGCAGTCAGCTTTTCCTGGAGTCACTTTGCTGGGTTTTACTCCCTTTGCTAACTGAACAGAGAGAAAACCAAGCGATATTCTCTTCAAGCAATTAATCCTACTGAGGAATCCTTCCTCCCTCACTCCTTGGGCGTTACGGTATATGTGCTATTGTACAAGAGGCCAAACCAACCCATAATTTCGATAAGAGACTTCCCTTTGAACAAAGAAGTTGGTGAAAGGTAACCTCTTTTGGGGTGTGGTGAAGTCTCTGGGCACAGAGAATCTGGAGACCCTGAAACTTTCTATGACTTCTAATCCTAAAAGTTCCTCTCCCTCTTAATCTTGCCAGGGGACTGGCTGTAGGAAGATGCTCTCTTTCTAACTGTTGGGGCAAAGGAACCCCTAGGCCAAGCAGTACAGATTTCTGAAAATGTAAATTCAGTAGCAACTGCACTGGGATTTCATCTTCCCAGACTGGAGAAAGAGAAAGCAAAAGCACAGGATGGTGTAGATCAAAACTAAACTCTCTTGGTGACTCTCTTCCTCTGCATCACCCAAAGTGTAGGTTCATCTTGGCCTCTAAGAACCTAAGAAGGTTGAGTTCATTTCAGTCAAAGAGACAATATAGTGTACTCTGGGTGGCCAAACAGTCAGATAATGTGGCTAGGACTTTCCCTGGTCAGACTTTCCCGTAAGTTCGCCTCTTTGCTCACCTGATATTTTGCTACTGGATGACTCTCTCCTGCAGCACTACTGTGAATCCCATTCAGTTTCTCCTGGTATTAAGAAAACGTCTCTAGTCCCACCACAAAAGTTTTGCAAAGAAAGCAGCCTGGGAATGCACTTAGCAGGGCATGTTTTAGACTGCTCTTTTCTTCCCTTTAGAGCCAGTCCGGTGCAGAATCCAATGCCCCGCGAGCCCCGCATGTTCTTTATGGACTAAACGCCAACAGAGTGGTCCATGCCATCCAGGATAAATGAGGCAGTCTGCGGCTCCAGTGTGCATACACAAGGTGGTGGGCTGGGAAGCTGTTTGGGGGATGGGAGGGAGGTGGCAAGACTGTGAGAGTGGAGTTCCCCTTCAGGAGTGATCTGAATGGGGAAAAAGCAGTCACTTGCCACAGCAACCCTTTGATGAAAGTGGACTCTGCTGGCTGGGATGATATCCTGTGTTTCTACAGCGCCCTTTGGCCAATGATAAAGCCACACTTCCAATTATTCATAGATTGCTAGGGGCTAGAAGGGACCTTGGAAATCATCAGGTCCAGCCCCCCTGCTCTAGGCAAGAAGACAACTGAGGTCAAGTGACCCCAGCGAGGTGGCTGTCCAGTCTCCTTTTGAAGATTTCCAGGGTAGGTGACTGCACCACCACTGGAGGGAGTTTATTCCACAGTCTGAACACCATGACTGTGAAAGAGTTTTTCCTGGTATTAAGCCTGAAGCAGAGTTTGTATCTATTGGTCTTGGTCTTCCCCAGGGGTGCCCTAATGAACAGTTGTTCACCGAGCTCCTGATGCACTCCTTTGATATGGTGGTAAACCACTATCAAGTCCCCTCTCAACCTTCTCTTCTTTAGGCTAAAGAGGCCCAGGTACCTCAGCCTTTCTTTGCATGGCTTGCCTTGCAAGACCCTGACCATACTGATGGCTCTTTTCTGGACCCTCTCAAGTTTTTCCATGTCCTTATTGAAGTGCGGCGCCCAGAACTGGATGCAGTACTCCAGCTGTGGTGTCATCAGTGCTGAGCATAGTGAGAGTATCACTTCCTTAGTTTTACACGAGATGCATCAGTTGATGGATGCCAGTGTACTGTTTGCCCTGCTGACCACCACCCCACACTGATGTCTCATGTTCATGCAGTGGTCAATCATTACCCTTAGGTCTCTTTCACCTGTGGTGCAAGTCAGGCTGTCACCACCGAGCCTGTATGTATGTTAAGGGTTGTTTGCCCCCATATGGAGCATCTTACACTTGGAAATGTTAAACTTCATCTGGTTCCAGTCTGCCCAATTCTCGAGCCTGTCCAGCTCCACCTGTATATGCAGCCTATCTTCTGACATGACCACACTGTCCATAACTTGGTGTCATCCATGAACTTGGCCAGCGAGCTTTTCACTCCCCCATCCAAATCCTCTAATAAAGATGTTGAAAAGCACTGGTCCAAGCATGGACCCCGAAGGACACCACTTGCCACTTTGTGCCAGGATGACATGGATCTGTTTATGAGAACTCTCTGGGTCCTACTTTAAGGCTACCAGGTAAATTAGTTACCACTACGCATCCAAAAGAGGGACCCTCCTTTTACAAAAAAGTAAACTGAGGCAAAAAGGCTCAGCGTCTTGGGTGGGGGGCTCATGGTGCAGCAGGGGACACAGGGGGAGAGGTGTGGCCTGTATGGCCCCTTAGAAGTTGGACAGCCCTGGTCTAAATCAAAGACTGAATTTTCCCCTCTAGAAATGCTGGATTTAAGCATCCCAACTCCCACTTACTTCAATAACCCGGTGTAGCTCTCTGAAGGCTGCATCAGCAGCAAGCAGGTCTTCCTTCTCCTGATCTGTTTCTGTTGTGCTTGTCACAACCACACTGATGTAACGCATGTAAGAGAAGAGACTCGGAGGCGACCTTCCCATGAGATGGGCCCTCTTCAAGAGGCCGAGTGGAAGGTACTCAGAGAGGCTGCAAGCAGAGATGATCTATGTGGGGCTTTGACAGTTGGGTTAGGAAAGTGCCAGGGAAAGATGAGACTGGTTTGGGACCAAATTATTTAAACAACTCAAAGATTGACTCATCCTCGTTGTTTGCTTGCTTCTGACCCCTGCCTTATTCCTTCAGGGAGAGAGGCATTGAGTTACTTGGTAAGCTACCAAAAGAAACCACAAGCCACCACATACTTAAGTGTCTACTGAGTGCCCTTTGGCACGAACACATTGTTCCCACTCTCAAAACAAGGTGGGGTGAGGACAATGCAAGTCAGCAGAAGTTTGACAGGAACTAGGAGTTGCTGGGATCCACATGCATCCCTGAAGTTAATGAAACCTTCACTAGAGAAAGAAGCGTTCATGTCACATAGTCCCTACCTGCCCAATACTGAGGGCCTGGACAAGTATATTAGCAGGATAAGGCCTGTCAGATGCTTCAGACCAAGGTGTGCCCAAGTCTACAGACTATCCTGAAAGCCCTGGAAAGTGTTTCTTCCACCCAGTTCTAACAGAACCCACAGCAAGAAGCAGCTCCGAATACGGGGACCGAACCCATTCACCCTACACACATGGCTAGGACTCTCCCTGGTCAGACTTTCCAGTTCTCCTCTTTTGCTTATCCGACATTTTGCTACTGGATGACTTTCCCTTGCAGCATTATTGTGAATCCCATTCAATTTCTCTTGGTCTTATGAAAATATCTCCAGTCTCACCCCCAAAACCACCTGTTCACCCTATGAACATCTGATGGCATTGACGGTCTTACTGTACAGAAAAAGTACACCTTCCCCCAGCAACTACCACATCCAGAGAATGACTGGGTGCAACAAGCAGCCAAGCACCAAAGTTGAACTTGCTAAGCCGCTTTGTGTTTAGGCACAGCTCATCTGACAACGCTTCCCCACAACAGAGGGGCAAGGCTCACGATGCTCCTGGAAAGAGCGTGTTTCCAGGAACAGAGGTTGAGGCCAGGGCAGGCCAAAGCAGGTTTCAGGTGCCTGAGCCACAGACCAGAGCAGTGAGGCTTGTGTTGAATGAAGGGGACAGCAGAGGGAGGAAGCTGCAACTTGAGGCGTGAGCATGCGTGGGCGCGCAGAAGCTAGACCTGTCTGTTCAGCTAATGCAGCCCCTGAGGCTGCTTGTAACCAGGCCATGCATGCAACAATTACCTGTATTTCACATCAAACACCGTGGAGTCCTCATCATCATCCTCGTCTTCATTCAGAGGAGCCATTTCTACCCGCTCGGCCGGAGTCGTGATTATGTCATACTTCCGGGTCTTCCTAATCCTCTCGCCAGACCTGAAACGAGAGAGGAAGCTTGTTGCTACTGTTCTACAGCAGGAGGGGCAGCTGACGTGCAACCCACTGTCCTAAATGTTTCTGGGCTACTGAGGCTTCCCTGATGCTTGGCCTGTGGAGCCAGAGCCTCCCCTCCCCACTTCCCTGAGCTGCCACTTGTGCCCATCACCGAGGAGCTCAGTGTCCTGTCGGCTGTAATCCAGATCAATGTCAGTCTTGCTGCTTCAGACGCACCAGCCCATGATCGTTCAGTGTCCAGGGCAAACATGCTCACGCAGAGGCTCACCAAGTCCCTGTGCTGCTGTACTCAATAAGTCAGACAAAGGCTTAATTGGCAGAGGCAGCTGACAGGAGAGCCAACGTGCTTAGAGGAGGAAACCATGTCATCCCTGCTGGCTCCAGGGCTTCCAAGAAGTCCGGGGCATCAGAGAAGAATTACAGGAGGAAGAGGCAGCTGAGGTTGGACTTGGGAGTAGACAAAACCCCCTTCCGGTTCCTCTGGATGTTGGGTTAAGTCCCTAATGCAGCCTGTCGCTTTACATGGCAATTTCACATATGGCAGCAACCCCAGGGGAATGCTCTTGGGTACACTCTGCCTTTAACTCCAAGCCCCTGTATTACAGAGGTGCTATTTATTCCACAGATTAACCCAATGTCATGAGCTACCTCTCACAGCTTATATGCAATCCTAGATTTGTTTTGGTTATGCTGGCCTGTGTGTTTTCTGCTGGTGCATTTAAAGGAAGCTGTGGATAACTCATCTTTTTTGGAGGAGAAGGGGGTTAGCATAGAGCAAGAAAGGGCTTAGTATAATTGCTTGCACTCTGGAAAAGGTTTCATTCAACAACATACAGAAGTTCTCCCCCTAAAATCCTTGTTAAAATCCAACCACAAAGTTGTCAGATTGGCAGAACAACTGGATACCTTAAAGTTTCTGATCACTGGTCCCAGGTTAGTACTTCCCAGTCTTGAGAACATATTGTTGTTGAGAAGTTTTGCTGCAATACATCGCACATGATGTGCTGGATGCTCCACTGCAAAGACCACGCATCAAGGCTGTGGACCCTTGGAAATAAGAGTTTGCCTAATATACAGGTTCATGATACAGAAGTCCTATTTCCAGTGTTATATTAGAGATCATAGATGATGATGATGACAACAATAGTCCCTTCTGACCTCAAAAAAATAAAAAGAAACCATTTGAGAGATCTCTGATGTAAAAGCTGTTGCTGGCTTCTCACTCTAGCATTTCCTTCTTGGCACAGGTCCATGACTAAATAAAGCAAGTTCCAGGCCCTGGGCAGTGTAATCGTAATTCTCTGAATGTTCTAAATTTGAACAGAATTAAAAAATCTGTCTCCATCATCATCATCAACTAATCTGTGTTGCCCTGTGCCACAGAGGATGCAGAGGTTTTCTTCTATTACTCCACCCATTAAAATAAGTGACCCTATGCAGTGAGAGAGGATTATCAAGAGCTTGGGTTAGTAGGGTCCTAACAAAACACCCATCAACCTTACTCTACTGCTCAGCTAAGATGCAAGGTCTCATCCTGCAAGTCACATATGCAACAGAACGTTTATTCAGCCACTGTAATATATTAAAACTCAAGTGTGTATGTGTCCGACTGGATGAAATCTATTTGGCTAGTGTCATTCTTGTATTTGTTCATTGGCTAATACAAGGTGTGAGGGATCTCTTGTGTTATCATGAATTAATAATGTGGCACAGGAATGCATATTAAAAGAATATCCATTTTTTTCTGTCTGCATATCAGGCCTACTTCTGTTATAGGCCATCAGTGATCATCGCCTCATTTAGAAAAACGTATTACTCTATATTCTACACAGGCAGATGTGCTTCTGGAACCTTTCTGACCATTACTGCTGGATACTGCATTATTTAAGGGTAGTTAATTCCCAGTAGCCAAATAGTTCTCCTCTTTTAATTTCTCTATTCAGGTTCCATTTTGAAAAGGACCTTCATAGTTATGACCATAAATAAGAGAGCGCTAAAAACCTTTCCACAACAATCATTTAGTAAGTAAAACAGTTGGTTAAGGGGGAAAAAAAAAAAAAAAAAAAAATCAAAGCCTGGGTTTTGTCAACATTTTTCCAAGCTGTTGAAAGAGCCCAGTGACAAACAGCTCCTTGCAGCTGGACAGAAGACCTTCATTTCCCTCCTCCCTCCTTCATTCCCCCTTGGCATATTTGGATGATGTGCTTATTATTAACCTGCAGGCCCAAGAGTCAATTCTCTCTGGAATAAACAATCCCAGGGGGACAAGTTTCATAATGACAGAACTGTGAGCCACACAAAGATTACTTGCAGTTTCCCACCCATGTACAAAATGATTCATCATGTGGACTGTAGCCCAGCCTGTTTCCTCTCCCCTTGTTGCATAGTGGACCTCCTTAGCCTCACCAGGATACTTTTAATCTTCAATGATGATGAAATACGAGAAGACCACATACGGTCAGACAAGATACCATCCATCACCCCCATGCGATGGAGGTATTGGCAAAGCAGTGCAAGACAGGAACCACAGCATGTGAACATCTCGTGAATTACTGAGACCTGCTCCAGATCCGCATCGAGTTGAGGCCTCATGTGAACAGACGACAGCCATCCAACCTGATCGGATGGAAGCTAGGAACAGCAAGGCAGTGAGGAGCAGCATTCAAAGCAAGCCCCTCCGATAACAGACTGAGATGCCCCTGTATGAAAGATCTTTATTAGGAGTGATAATGGATACTCATGAACACAGATTTTGATACTGGTCTCCAGTGAAAACTTGTACAATCCCAACTGGATGCATCTAGCCCCCTACAGTTAGCAGGTTTAAGTAGGAAATGCTGTGGATCAGTAGAGAAGCATGCAGGGTAGAGCTGGGGGACACGGAGGAGCCACATGTAGGGACAGCAGGAGCACCAACCATTGTGAGAGGTTAGCAGAGCCACAAGACCTGTGCAGAGGAGGGTACTGCTGCAGGTCTAGCTAAAAGACTAGGGCAGAGTTGGGGAGGAGCTGGCAAAATTCAGTGGGCTGTGCTGGCCAGGTCAGGGTTGGATCAGTAGTTCTCAGCACAGGTGCCAGGGCACCCTGCAATGCACTGAAATCCTTTCAGGTGTGCTGCAGGGTGCCAGGCACTGTTAGCACTGTGCACATACAATTCACACAGTCTTCAGTGTGTGCATACGGTTCACAAAACAAGCCTAGAGAATTCAAATAGGAATCCATAGTGTTAAAAGCCTTTGGGTTTGTTGTAGTCTTTCTGAGTTCTTTGCAACCAAAAAAAAAATTGCTCCAAATTTCTCTAGTCAAATGGAAAGTGGAAAATAAGAGCTGATATTTTCCAAGGGTGCCTCAACTCTATCAAGGGTTGTCTCGTGTCTGAAAAGGTTGAGAAGCACTGGAGCAGGTGATCAAAATGGGTCATCCCAGTCTTTAAATAAATAAATAAAATCTGTCAGTTGATCTACAAAGCTCACATGGCATCTGTACAAGCCACAAAATAACTGGAGCCAGTATTACCAGATTCTTGCTTTAGATCCAGTGCTGTTCCCACTGAAGCCAAAAGGGAAGCACTCATTCGATTAAATAGAAATAGGATTAGTGAGCACATGCTTGCTTAATACATGGAAAGCAATGTCTGACCTGCCGGCCTTGCTCAGGAGGATCCAGCTCAACATGCTCATGAGTAATTCAGACACATTAGTTTTATTCCTGGGTAATCAGATTCCTTTGGGGGTTTAAGTGCCTCAGACTTACCACAAGTTTTCTGCTCTATAGTGGGGGAAAAGATGAATTTCCTGCATATTTCTATTCAGCCTGGGGGACAGCAATGCTGACTCAAGCAGGGTGCATGAAAGGCTGGCAGGAAGAGAAGGACAAAGTTTATGACTTGCTTGTATCACTCATTTGACCAGGGGCTGTTTTGGTCAAACCCGAGTCATATGCAGCATTTCACGCTTCCTACTGAAACATCATGTGGTGGGAAACGCACACAAGACAACTCCCTAGCTCATTATACAACTCAAGCCCCTAATCTATTTATAACACCAACCCTTGATGCTAAAGACAATGCTTCTCTTGACCCTAGTGAGAGAGAAGTCAGAGCTTCTGATCCAGTGTTAATATACTTCTTGACAGCAGATTCTGGGGAGGAGGAAGGGAAAAGGCAAGGATATAAAAGGTGCCCACAAAAAATGTACTCTTTTCTAGAAGTAGGTTTATTGGAAGTGGAATTAGAAATAGGGCAGGCTAAAACTAAACAGCATTGATGATACTCCAGGAATGCAACAGGGAGCAACCTATTTACTGGTAACAGGCTCCTTGAACATGAACAAGTTTCCAAAAACAGAAGGTTTCTGGAAACAATAGGCATCTAACAAGTGACTGAATGAGATCTTTAAGAATCAATGTGATATTTTACTGTCTTCTAGCTAGCCAAGCTTCCCTGCTCTCAGGAACGTTTTAAACACTAATGTTAAACCAGAGGCTATTAAGATCCTCGTACCTGCTTTCAGATGCCCCTTTTGACGTAATGAAGTGAAGATGCTACATTTTTTAACAATCAAGTCCTTCAGATGGAACACACACAGGCACAATGAACAGAAGTAAAGGCTTGTTCAACTGCTCTAAGTGTTAATAAGAGGCCTGAAGGCTGGGAAGAAGATTGCAAAAAGCCTCCAGAAAAATCGAAATGAGATCCTGCCATGATTCAGTTAAAAGGTAATGCTTAAAAATAGCTATAATGCACCTACTACTGACTAGTACTAGTATGAGTGGGCTCCTATACACATACATAGAGGCTGCTGTAATTACAGTGTGTTGGAGCAGACTCAATTAATTGAGCCTGCTTAAGTGTGTTAATTAGTGCTCTCCAGACTCCAGCATCACATGCAACATGGTCCCCCCACTGAAAAGTGGTGAGGGGGCACTTTCAACTAAAGCTGGTTTGAGCTTTAGTTCAAAGGACCCGGCCGGCATTTTTTAGC